ATTACCCTGGTTTTGATTGCCATTCTTCTTGGGATGGGGACACTCCTTTGCCCAATGGCCCAACTGATTGCAGTTGAAGCATGGCTAGTTGTTCCTTGGTCCGGCTAAGCTTCCCTGGCCTACATTGCCCTTAGGTATGGCAATGGTGAATGCCCTGTGGAATGTCTTCTGAGGGCGATTGGCTTGAGCTTTTGGTTGAGGAGGCCTATACTTTGGCACTAGTGGATGGAACTGTGGCCTAGCTGCCACTGGAGCTCTGGACTGAGATGACCCTGAGGCACCTACCTCAGCTGCTCTTTTGTGGCCCTTTGCTGCTGCGTGCAAGTTGTTCTGATTCTCCTGGGTTAAGGCATCACTGACAAACTCATTATAGGTGGCACACCTTGAGTTGGCCATGGTCTTCATTAGTTTGGTGCCATGGCCTCTCTTGAAGCTTTCTATCTTCTTTTCCTCTGTATCAACAAACCCTAGGGCATATCGGGACAAATTGTTGAAGTCATGCATATACTCGGTAAGGGTCTTGATCCCTTGAGTAAGTCTCATGAACTCGGCAACTTTCATGCGCATCAGCCCTGGGGGAATGTGATGTCCCCTAAAGGCTAACTTGAATTGTTCCCATGTGACCTATGCGTTTGCAGGTAGAGAAGATAAGAAATGGGTCCACCATATCCCTGCCGGTCCCTGCAGTTGATGAGACGCATACTCGGCCTTTAGATGCTCCATTACCCTCAACAGACGAAACTTTTGCTCTATTGTGTTCAGCCACTCATCCGCCTAGAGCGGTTCTTCAGCCTCTTTGAAGATAGGAGGCTTGGTGTCTTGGAAATCTTTGAACGAGCTATATTGATTCGGTTTAGGCCCTTGATGTTGCTGACGGGCGTGAGCGGTGTTCTGCGTAATGAGGCGTAGTGTATCTTCCATTACTCGCTGATTTCCCAGGAATTGTGCGAAGAATTCATTCGTAGATGGTGATGGTGGTGGTGGTAAATCACCATCATTGCCACCCTGGCTGGTGCCTACCCTAGCATGGGTGCGAGTCATCTGCAAAATTGAACCATAAGTGATTATTGGTTGATGACAGGAGATTGCAAATGAATTGTGTAATCATGCCAAACTAAAATTATTGGAGAGAATCTGAAATTCATACAATAAACAGAGGCTTAGTAATTTATTCTCGCAACATAACATCACCAATTAGATCACTTATTGTACTTGCAACGTGTTAACATGCATGTCATATTTCACCAGTAAAACGAAACTGAAATTTTATCAAAGTTCAATCCATCATGGATTAACATGCAAAGTACCAATATTACACCGAAGTTATGTCACGAGTACTGAAGTTCACACTACAAGTCCATTACACAAATAGTAGGAATACAACTAGCGCTTCAAACTAGTCACTAAATGGCTCTATTCTTCAGCGTGCTCACTGTCGAGGTCGGAGATAGCATCATACTCATCCGATGGAACCACTTCTTCTTCCCAACCGTCATCTTCAACAAACATTTCTGGATCTTCTTCCTCATCTAGGATCGGGTGCAGTTGGTTGTCCAGAAAATGCGCATCATGATGAAGATCAACCACCATGTTCTGGGTATGTGCAAGCTGCTGGCGCAAGTCTCTTTTGACTCAGTCCTACTACGCGGCTAAGGCTTCAGCATTATTTCATGCTACTTCTGCCAGGGCTGCACAGTTGTTTGCTTGGATCTGCTGGCATGTAGCTGTGAGTGCCTTGGCACGAGCGGCCTTCAGCTACTCCCGTAGTCCTGCTAGCACTTCCTGATCATCAGCTCTTGCCTCTTGGGTGGCAACTCTCTGCTGATCAACTTACTCCATCTGAGTGTGAAGATTTCCCAATGCTACATATGCCTGATCAGTTTCCCATTGACCATCACTTGTTGCCTTCTTGTGCTTGCAAACACGCTTCCTCAGCTTCCGCTGGGCAGCTTCGGCTCTCATGAGCCTATCCATGCAAGTGGTATAGGACTCCTGCCAGAAGTCTTGGGTATCTTGACGAGTATAGAACATCTTCATCACGGCAAAGATTGCACTCATAGCGAGACTAGAACTATCTGCCCGCTCATCCGGTTGTGCTGTGCCCAAACTACTATGGATGGATTCACCCAAGGAAAAGTACTAGTGGCACTGCTGGTAAGCTCATTCCCGTGTTGCTGACATATCGGGCTCAACAGCTCAAAAGCAACTACCTGGGCACCTTCCCAAGGAGTTTTTCCTTTAGATTCTGCCTTCCACTCCTACCACAGGGGTGCTTGGGTACGAGCTGGTATGGTTAGCACCTCATACCATGGCTGTCCTTCCAGGTATACCTCATTCTAGGAATAGAGAGGCGGTTCGGTATATCCCGCATAATGCAAGACCCTCCAAAGTAGGGCAGGGGTACCAAACATCTCCAGGAAAGTCTCATTCCCAGCTGATGTTGCCATCTGTACCAACAAAATGGTGCAACTCTCGTGAGAACAACATTATAATAGAAAAGAGTTACTTAACCAAATAAGAGACTTATAAGGGGAGGAACAATGCAAGTGTGTAATGAATGATTGATCATGATGCATGTACGTTTCATACGTCCTCACAAACTTAGAAAAATTAAAATTCTAACGACCTACACGGTGGCATACACACGTTCTCTCATATATAACGTAGCTAGTCGGGCTACACGTTTCGCTGTTAGTGTACCTGCACAAGAATTTCATTTCAGCCCAACCCCGTAAGTATATATGCAGAAATAAAAATCTAGGCTCTAGGTTGCAAGCTAAATACTTCTATATATATACTTCCATATCAAAGCTACCCGAAAGTAAATACGTCCCATATATACATATAAATATGCATATACAGTCGTGTTAAAACTAACCCACAATTAAATACCTCCGTATATATATGAGACATATATATACTTTAGTATCAAAGCTAACTCTCCCCATTAGACCGCACGCTCACATCTTGCGGTCATGCCACTCATCATCTTACCTTGGGCATAGAGGCAATTGATCCATACATTATCACTCAAGTGAATATCATCCATACAATAGCACGCCGTATGGACGACGAAAATAAAAACCCCCCAAGTTAGTACTTAATTAGCCACCTGAAATCCTTAACTGGGCATAAAGGAAGTGATCATTGGCACACATTAGATTCAAACTTTAGGTTTAAACACCTATATATATATATATATATATATATATATATATATATATATATATATATATATATATATATATATATATATATATATATATATATATATATATATATATATATCAGTTGCCAAAACTAGTTTTGGAAAAACAAAAACCTTTGTTTTTAATACACACGTGGCAATTAATATTAAATCTTTCTCTGATGTCAGCTGTAGTAGAATTGTCCAATTTATAAGAGCACAAGTACAATAGCAGCCCGCAAATAGTCACACTGTCATACTTGAGCCCATATAGACCCGGTAGTCCGTCGAGTACCACGAAGGGTCTCGATTCAACCAACATAAAACCAAGATCGTACATAATTCAACATACATGTCACACGTTACATAAAGTTCACAAATATAGTTTCATACATCATAGTACGATTAAAAGTTATTATAAACCAAGTTCAGGTAAAATAGTAGTGGAAGCAATTAAAGTTTAAAACCAACATCTCCATCGTTGTTCAAATATTGTGCCAGCTCATGATCATAGTCCCACAAAAGCATAAGAGAGGGATTAACGAGAAACGCCTTGTCCAGGGCCCTACTCGTCCACGGCGGGACAGAAACAGTTCTTACAGTAGCCATGATATATCGTATTATCTGCAACAATAGGAAATAAACCCTTAGTACAAGAAGGTACTCATCTAGACTTACCCGTCATAAACCAACAATAAAGTGACTCCAAGGATCATGCAAGGTTTTATAAGTGGAGCTAGCTTGACAACATTTTATATAAAAAGCTTACCAATTCAAGTATACAGTTATAATTCGGTCATCAAGTTAATTATAGCTATTCATCTCTAGATTAACAACTAACCTGTGCCAAACATGTGGTATATCATTTAGTTGCACAACAATAATAACCATAGCCGGCGTAGTAATTCCATGTTCTTCATAACAATCATTCCATAATACACTTACTACGATGTTGGTGTGAGTCAAGTTTCTCACTATCTGGGAGAGACGGCGATTCGAATCAATTTCAATCAGCTGGAAATTTATTCCTAACACAAACCCAGACAGACCAGATCAACGATCACCTTAGGTCACCTTTAGTACAACTCAGGTCCACATTTCGCGGGTTCGATTAGCGCCGCACAATCATTGACGACCAGCTGCCAAGACGTTCAGGCCCAGCCTACATTGGTCATACGTGATTACAAGCATATGCATATATATATCAACATCACATGTGATAATGTATAAAGAATGAAATGAAATTTCATATGCTCATGCTCATGAATGAATGGATGATGCTTGTGCTCATAAAATGCAAGTGCCAAATGCAATGCTTAACACTAGGGTGTTACAGTTGCACTCTCTACTCTGTGGGTCCCTGCCATGCTCGGTCCATCAGTCATAAGCTTGGGAGGTAAATTCCACGGTATGATCCCAGGCTCTGGTAGCTCAGGCACCGTTTGAAGCGCCAATCCAGCACACCACCAATCTGTAAAAGAATTAAAAGCTGGTGGATTGCTCTGCTAGGCCCAAGAGACATGCTTGCTGCCTTGGAGAACCATTTGGGCTGCTCAAGAGGAGCTTTCCCTTTAATGCCATGTTTGGCCTGCTGATTAATTCCCTCCACACCTCTATCCAGGCGCCACTGCCCAAGGCAATTAACTGCAATATGTCCCCCACGCAGGCAATTGTGGCATCTGATCTCAGACCTGCAGTCTCTCCTTGCATGTCTATCTGAGAAACACCGCGAGCAAATCCTGGGACTCTGTCTCTGATAGATTTAGAGCAGAGAGAGGTTGATTCCTGAGACCTAAATTCAAATTCAAATCCACTAGATGCCGGTCAGTTGTTTTCCCTTGCTCACTGTTGACTGCTTCCCTACTATTGTCCGAGGCCCTTCTGCTTGAGCTTTGAGGTTGGCCATGGAGATGTCGTTCAGGATGAACTGCATGAGAGCCCCAGGCATTATCTGGGAAGACAATACGCTTAAAGACTGATTGCCTGATAGGAAGACTGTTTGCCCCCATCAGAATACCGGATTTCACTGCATCAGCAAAGCTCTTGTGATTCAATGGAACCTTTCACTGATACCCAGGAATCAGCTTCTTCTCTGTTGAAAACTGCAAGCTCAAGGTCCCAGCGAGGGCCACCGTTACCCCAAAGGTGGAAGAAGACCTTGTAGCAAGAACACTCAAAGCTGACCAACTTAAAAATGTGAAAACCCACAACCTTGGAAGAAACAGAGAAGCGGAAAACACGGGGACCTAGCTGAAGGACGCTAAAATCCCAAGCAACACCTCCAATGGTGGCCTGAAGAAGAAGACCCACCGAGAGAGGACAGAGACAAAACTTGCAGCGACCAAAAGAAGCAACTAAAAAAAAGACAGAAGAAGAAACACCAGAAGAAGTGACTGAAAGCCCAAACCTTTCCCACGCCCGGACGGAAGCTGAGGCCTGGGAGCTCCATCGAAGCCTGGGTGAGGCTTTAATCAGAGACGCCATGGGAGAGTTGTCGCAGGAGAGGGCACTGGTGGTGGAGGGGAGCCAAATATAGAACTACAACTTGCTGCCACCACCATGGTAGAGACTTCATGGCAAGCTTCAGCGGCGGAGCCTTCAGAAGGCCAGATTTACTAGAGCTCGGCAAAACGTCGACCAGCTTGTGTGCAACCACCATTAGCTCCAGCGAAGTGACGAGGAACTGTCACAGACCTTCACGCGTCACTCGCTGAGATCAGAGGAGAGGGGCGCCGTGGCCGGAGCAGCTGGCGGCGGTTTTCGGCCACCAGCGCTAGTTCAGCGGCCCGAGAGTCGACGGGAGATGTCTGTTGGTTTACGCACATGTCCCTGGTTTGTGGTCCCAAATATGCCATTGAAAATCATCTCAAGCACAACTCAGCAATGCGTATAGGGGCTCTAGATCCATTTATTTAGTTGCAGATGATGGACCATTGATAGCGAAATGCGGTAGGATGTATATGCGTGCGCTATATGTACATGTGTAATGTGTTTTAAGGAAAATGACTGGAAATGACAGCGGTGATGTTTGATCACAAACTTATAGTAAACTGAATTGACTACTCTGCTAAATTTAAGCATTCATTTTTTTTTAACGAAATAAGCATTCATTCGTTCCATACGTATGTAGTTCACCCCCATGAGCTGTGGAAATATATACATACTGACCTTACTATAGAATTAACAAAACTAGGTGACGAAAGGTCAAGCACATTTAGTGGAACTGTTAGGCTTCGGCCTCTCAGGATAATGCAACTATATTTCTATATGGTAGAGGTGCTAAAACAAGTTCCTTCAACTCTTCGTCAGAACAAAAGCAGGCAAAATCATCTTCCAGGATCCAGGGTACCCGAAGGGATCAGCTAGACTGAAAAAAGAAATTGCATAATCAATTGAGTTTTGCAAACAAAAACATTAGAGAAGAAAAGAAAAAAACAAATGCGTACCTCAGGTGCCATACGCTGATGAACTCTGTTTAGTGGGGCTCACTATCTTTTTTTGAAAGAAAAGTGGGGCTCACTATCAGCATCACCAGTTAGGGAAGGGAAGGAAAAACCAGTTTTCTGCTGCTGCTACCGATTGGGGACAATGCCGTACCAATGTGCAGGAGGGCAACCCTCTTCTTGTTCGGTGAAACCACCTTGACACTGGTGGTGCAAGATGAACCCACTTCCTGGATATCTGAAACATCATTCCCGAGAATCATCGCTGCAGCGCGGGTTACGAAAGGTGAGAGCACATCATCTGATTTCATGGGAGACCGAGGGTTGTGCAGTCCAGAAGAGCACCCAGCAGTTGCCGGTGTTAGTTTGGAGCATGTAGATGGAAGTAGGAAGGAAGATCTGAAAGAGGACTCAAAATGTTAAGCGTGTGGAGTTTTGTAAGGGAGGCAAGAATCATGCTAACATCCATGCACAAGACATACAAACCTGTAAGGCTCAAGCGAAGGTGTTGCGAGTAGATTCTCAGAGGCTGGAAGATCACCAGATTGGCTAATCACATGGTGTTTGTCAAACGCAAGTTTTTCTTCCTTCCCATTAGTGCCTTTTGCTTTACTCCCTTTCTCCAGTTTTTCAGTAGTTAACAACAGCACACCTTCAAGGGAAAATAAGAGCATTAAAACCTGGCAACTGAGCATTAAAGCCTGCTCCAAGCATGAGCCTCTATTCAAAGATGAAGATCAAGTGGTATGTAAACACAAATTCAGTGTTACCCTGTCAAGAAATTACACACTCAACTAATTCAGTGTTAGCCACCCAAACCAATTAGCATGTTCTTGTTCATGTTTTGTCAATCATAAGTTTCTAACCAGCTATATATAAAATCCTAGCACAAATGTAAACTAAATTCAGACATGGAACTGAAAAATTCAAGACACAGTTATTGAACTTACACAGCACCTTTTGACCAAAAGCTGTGCTGTGGAAAGGAACATGGGGATAAGATGGCAAGCACAAATTTTGGCAAACATTAGTGTACATTAAACTGAGAAGCATGTAAACTGGTTAATTGCATTTTTTCTAAAGAAAAGAATATCGAGAATGGATCAAACTCACCCTCTCTTTTTCCAAAAGAATTCTTACAACTCTCGCATCAGCAACTTATGGAGCACCCTACACCACTCTTATGACACAGAACAACATTATATATTAAATAAACACATGAACGGGTCAATTTATTAACAAAGTTAGATTAAGTCAAGAAAACTAAATTGACAAGTTAAATGGTACCTGAAAGCACTCGCAGTATTTTTTAAGACAAGAAGACTTCCTGCAATTGCATCCTCTTTTATGTCGAGCGGAAGCAGGAGTGTTGTTAGAATCATCCTACAATGAATGGGATGCCATGAGCAATAGTGAAAGAAAAAAAAAGAAAAATGCAACTAACAGGATCTGTTCTTCTTAGTTCTTACCCCAAATTCTGAAACAGGCCCACATGTGCGAGTGACTGTAGGAGCAAATACTAGAGGGTTACGAGATTCAGTCTGCTTGCGAATATGAGAAACTGCTTCCTCATGCATATGATTATTGGAACAGCCTTGACATGAGCAGAATTCTGAACAATAGACTTTATCAGCGAAACATGCACAATAACTGCACAAGAAATGACAAAGGATGGTCATAATTTCAAATATTATGAGAAGTCTGCAAAATACGTTTGGTTCTTTCAAAAACACAAAGAGTAAGGGAATCTGCTGACATTGCATTGACTAGTAATTTTATGCTCACCTTTCAGATAGAAGGCATTGCATGTTGAAAGAAACAAGGGAAACAAAATCAATGGAGCTGTTCTCCAGGCAGTATACAATTAAATCAATGCAACAATCAACTTTATTTTTATATGGGTAAGTTTTTTTTCCTCGAACACGCAAGAGAGCTGCATATCATTATATTGAGACTTTTTATATGAGGAAGTCGAAACTGCATAGATTAAACAACAGGCATGAAATACATCGAATGTTTAGACATGTCTGAACTTTGAAGGTTGCTTGAAAATCCATCAAGTTTAAGTTTTAATAATTATTACCAAAACAAAATAATAGAATACAAAAGTGTAAACTGACTTTCACTATTGCCAATCTAGGATTGCTCTGCCTACTGCCCTACTCAAAATATAAGCAACAATGCTGTTTGAAACCACACTAATGAATGGGTAGCCTCAAGAAATACTGGTCATGCTGATACAAATAATTTGAGGAAAAACATAATTTCTGCTACATCGCAAACTGGAAAAAACAGCTTACTCAAATGTCACAAATATATTCTAAATATGACTTAGAAGGAAGCTTGAACCCCCTTATCTTGATGGAGAAATTTTTGTGAATTCCATTGGTCAAACCTCTATCACTCATGTTATAATATTGAAACTATGAGTGAGTATGTGATACTGGTCTGAAAAAGATAGAAAGCTAACAGCACTCTTCAGAAGAACGACTTCTCTCAACCAATTAAACAACCAGAACTCAAAACTAGATGCACCCAACACTAATGGGATAGAACTGTCAGAAGCCCAAGTTCTTGAGCTCCTCATGAAAACCAGGGTATGACGAACTATATTGCAGTCAAGGCTGACTCTACATGAATCCAACAAGGAGATGATTTTCAAACAGAATAAGTTATTTCTGGAAATAAAATATGAGAAGTATTTTAACTAGAAACTTTCTATATCCGTTAAAACTCTGGCTGATTTCCAACCAATTTCAATGTGTTTTGGTAGGAAAGACCAACCTAGAAAGTCAGTAATCTTAAAGCCTTGAACAAATAAGTATCTGCTGCACACAAATCAACCATATGCATGTATTTGTCTTATACCTGAATCATCGGTAGGCCATATCATTTTATGATTACAAGTACATTTTTTTTAACGCAATGATTACAAGTACATTGGAACAGCCCAAATCGAACATTATCATATTGTCTGCTTCAAACGCTTTGATATCCTCACGGATACAGGTAAAGTGTACATGGAAAAATCTGTATATTGCAAGGAACCTTACAGTTTTAAGCATTTTGACTTTTTACAACTACAATGTATGCATGATTCACCATCATCGTTTTGTAATTTGCGCCTGCAAAAGGACTCCCAAAAGTCACCATCAATAGAGTAAAATTCTAGATAAAGAGAGCGAGAGAGGCATATATTAACTAACCTTCTGTTCTTATGACTTTGTTGGTCAGACTTGTCAGCATTAGGCATGGTTTTCTGAGAAGAGTAATCGTCAACATGAGTGCATACCTCACTGCCAGAAATTACTGTTGCTGGACTAGTTTGTTCAGGTAGCAGTGGAGGATTAATTGTGAGCGGCATGTTGGATAAATTCAAGGCAGCAGTATTCAGATGCAAACCAATACCAGGCTTCACAGGCTTCAGATAGTTATTGCCACATGTACTCGCATGATGAATATTTGAGATATTTTGCACTCTCTTATTAGATGGCCCTACCTTGTCGTTAAAAAGGTTACGCCTATGCGTACCACATTGCTGCTGTGATATGGCCTGCGAGATGAAAACAAATTGTCATGTTTTCTGACAAGAGCATCAAATAGGAAAACAAAACATAAAAGGCACTTCAGTCAAATCAAGGTTTCACACCTACTTCTGTTACAAACTTACAATAGATGCAATTTAGAAGTTTTCAACACTTAAACTGTACAGTCTCTGGCTAGTTAATATAACCAGAATGAAGGTCCAAATTTGGTATCAGAGGATTAATCAAATTACAGGGGAAAAAACACATTCACTATCAATCAGACCTAAATTATATTAGAAAGGAAAGACTAAAATTATTGATGGCATCAAGGGATTCTCCATTACCGTGCCATCAATGGAAACTTTGAATGTGTCAAAATTATAGTCATTTGAAACCAACTGGTTTTGAATAACAGCAGGGAGCATTTCTTGGTCATGATTCGTTGCAACACCTGCTGTTGCATCAGCACAGTAAACATGAGTGTCATCAGCAGCACTCTGGATATAAGATCCAAATGGCTCAACAAAATGTTCTCTTCGTGAATCCTCCAAATTTCCTTGATCCACTGCCAGGACGGATATGCTAGATATGATATTATCACCTCTTAATTTCCAACTCCGTTGTTGTGCTTCTAAGGCCAGATCTGATATTGATACGACACTATTACCAGTACCACAATGTGTGATCAAGTGGTTTAAACTGCATGGTGCTAAATCATTTCTATCCTGTTTGGCCAGCTCATTCTCCTGAACAATTCTTCCAGAAGTGGACGAGTCCACTTGGTCGAGGTCATTCTGATCAGAGTATGTGCTTGATGGCTTTACCTGCTCCACATCTGCAGTATGATTTGTTTTGCCATCAGTATCTTGTTTCTTGGCATCTCCTAAAGTTTCACTACCAAACAGGGTGGATTGGAGCCATTTGCTTGGCGAATTTGTTGCATCCTCAGAAGGGCTACAATTTTCTGAAGCAAGTGCTACGGATCCAGACAGTTCAATGCAGCTAAAAGTCCCCATCTGGTTCCTTTGGCAGTTAGGATTGAGTTCTTCTTGAGAAAGCTTAGGGTCCGTTTGGTTGGGCTTTTGGCTTTGGCTTTTGGCCCCAAAAGCCAAAAGCCCAACCAAAGGGGCTGCTTTTAGAGACAGCTTTTTTCAGAAACAGCTGCTTTTCCGTAGTACATTTTTTAAAGCTGGTTTGACCCTACTTTTGACTTTTGGCTTTCTGCTTTTCGAAATTGGTGGAATAAAAAGCTCTTCCATAGTTGTTTCAAGAGAGATAAAGATAGAAGGTATATTTTATACTTGTTTAACCAAACAGCTTTCAGCTTTTCTACAGCTCACAGCCCACAGCAGCTTTCCCACAACTCACAGCCCACAGCAGTTTTTTCCCACAGCCACAGCTCAACCAAACACACCCTTAACATCCCTGGTCAACATGTAAAGATGCGTACTAAGTTTAAATGATAAAAAACACATATATCAGAAACGATAATAGAAGATTCACCTGATTGTGGATTTAGATTCCTTTCATGGATTAACTTGGGGCAAGGTGAAGATTGAAGAAAGAGGTGGTAAGTTTGATGACTTGAATAGCTGGACATTTTGTGTTGAATCTAAAGGCTTCGGTGTTGCTATAGGAGATAAACTATTGATGAAATCAAAGATAGGAGAGTGCTGCAAGTGTGAAATCTAATTAGAAACTCAAGACTCAAGGAAAAAAACTTAAGTATGAAATAACTACCTTATAATGTGAGTGTGCAGTAGTCATATGCTCGTATTAAAAATGAAATCACATGAGAACATGTGTATTTGTGCAGGTGTATGCAGAGACAACTTACTAATGCTCTAATATCACTAAATTATTACTTCGTTAACTACAATGGAGGTGAACAAAACTGAGGGCATAATTTGAAACCACCCATAAGATCGACCAATAAACATGCTAATGCACCATTCATGCAAGTACTTGAACAAGAACTACACAAAGGAAAAGGGAAATATCAGCAAAAAAAAACCTACTCTGCAAGTGCCAGGGTATTTCATTTTATTTTGATCTCTGCACAATTCGTATTGCTAGTGGATCTAAAGGAGGCACTTCCAACATGAAGCACTCAAATGACACCTATTTAACCGCATGATTCGCATTTGTAGTAGACAGCGATCGTAATCCTTTTCAATATGAAAATTCACAGGAAATGCAGTAAAAACGCTGACGAAATAGACAGTAATCAATACACAGATAGGAGAAGCAGAGCAACAGCTGCAGGACACGGATCTAAACTTTAAGTTTCTCAACGGAAAGAGCTTCATTAACAAACAACTTGGAGAGTCAATTAACCGTAATATCCCCTCCTGAAACACAACAATTAAGCCACCTCTAGGTAGCTCATCCAATTGTGCCCCAAACCTAGAAGTAATTCGTAAGAGCATTGAAGGTTTCAAAAACTGTAAACTGTGAGAAATGCTTTGATTCGCGAGGTGGACCACCAAAATGCAAGCCAATGCCCCACATCCATCCGCGGAAGGGAAAGCACTAGTTCTGACACCGGAGATTGCAGAAGCAATAGCCAATCGCCATCAATCGCGGCCCATCCTAAACCCTAACCTCCCCATCGAAGACGAAGCCCAAACCTCGAACCGATGAACCCAGCGAACACAATTGCCCAGTACAGATACCAAAAAGTAAACCGGGAAGACGAACTAACCAAAAAAACCCTGCTTGCATTTGTCACTCGTCAGCCGACCCGTAACCCGTTCACACATAATTCTCATCCCAAACCCCGTCACCGCACACCACCGTCGGAAAACATTGAAGTAGAAATTAGGAACCTTTGAGCACTTGTGTCAGACAAAAGCGGCGAACCGCGGCGGGGGCGGCGTGTGAGGAGTAGGAACGGACCTCGTAGAGCGCGACGGCGTCGGATGACGGTCGCCCGGCCGGGGGGCTTTCCGGAGCGTCCATCTGCTCCGGCGATGTCGGACTCTGGAGAGATCACCCGCGCCGCCGGTGCCTGCCTGCCGTCTCCTCCTCTCCTCAAAGGCTCAAACGCACGGCTAGGCTAACTCAAGGCGGTCGCCGTGGGCGGGAATCCTGCCTTTTCAGATGTAGGGCCCGGGAAGTGACACGTGTGCGGGTTGACCGGCTCTTCTTCTTTTTTTAGATTTTTTTTAGATGATGAGAGAGAGGGGTGACCGGGTGCGGCACCGTGGGCTGCCCTCGACCTGGCTATCTTCGGTAAATTGGGCCCGGCTTCTCGTTTTAAATTAGGCCCAGTATCTTCGGTAATAGGCGCCTCAATTTTACCAGGCCACCAAAACAGAAGAATCCTTTTTTTAAGAGCAAAGTGCATACCCCGGTCCTTATACTACCCCGGTCCACAGGGGAATGCAATTCTCGCTTCCTAAAAAGTCAATCAATTTGAACTTTGACTAAAATTATATAAAAAAACCGCTTTCAAAAAGTCAATCAGTTTGAACTTTGACTAAAATTATATAAAAAAATACTAACATTGGCGCCGTTCGCTGGTCTGGACTGACCAGACCAGCCGGCTGGTTTCCCTCTCAATTCACTGTTCATCAAACCAGCCAACAATGTTTCTCTCTCACACAACCAGCCAGTTTCAGCCAAGATTCTGCCAGCCGAACGGGGCCATTACTGATACAAAATTAGTATCATTAGATTAGTCATAGAATAAATTTATTTGGAGACATAAATATTAATACTATTTGCTATAAACTTAGTCAAATTTGAGTTACTTTGACCGGCACGGATCCCATAATTACATTCTTTTATGTACGGAGGGAGTACTTGTTGGAGTGTGTCATTCCGGTCCATAAACTCTCAAAACGAATAATTAGGTTCGTAATCTCTGTTTCTGTGTCGTTTAAGTATGCACTTTGCTATTTTTTTAGCACGAAGTAAGCTCTATTTAGAGTACACACAGGCATCATAAAAAATAACAAAATAAAAATAAGATCTGGTATATGCACTAAGCAAATACCTACGAATCCTTGATCATAGACATGTTCTCTCTCTTCATTTCTCACTTTTGCTCACCGAGGGTGTATTTGGTTGCTTGATATCCATGGATGGAATGGGACCATTCATAGATACGCAGCGTTTGGTTGGGCGGATCACTAGATAAGTAAATCCATAGATAGGGAATATATCTCCAAATGCTGGATTTTCTAGGCCGAAAAAAAATATGTGGACTAACTTATCCATGTCTTCTAATCTTGGTCATTAGCAAATAAATTAAGGATTATTAGTATGTTATATTATTACTTAGTAATTATGATGATAGGATTAGTTTTGATAAGTGCTAATAAGTTGATTAGTGCATGTCTTGTGTGCTAATTAATATATTTTATTTTAAATTAGTGATTATCATGAAAAAATTAGTATTAGTGCATATATTTATTAATGTCTAATTAGTTGTTAATATTTTTAAATAATAGATATAATTAGTCAACTATTCCCATCCCATCTGCTTTCATCCATCCAACCAAACAGAAAAATGGCCCATCTCATCCATCCAACCAAACATACATCGTGGATATCCTTATCCCAATATCCATGGATCGTCATATCTCATTCAACTTTGTCCTCCAACCAAACACGCATCTAGTTATTTGCTGATGTGCCTCGGCTACGAGGGCTTTTCTCATTCAACCTTGTCCTCCAATCAAACATGCACTTAGTTATTTGCTGATGTGCCTCGGCTACGAGGGCTTTTCCAATAGCGAAGAAGCCATGCATCGTCCCATGTGGAATCTCAATGAATCCACCCAATAACTGAAGCAAGCAAATTACGGATGAGAGAGAATAATCGATTCATGTTTGAGAATCGACTCTTGACGAATAAAGAATGAATGAATTCGGCCCATCTTACCGGTTGTGTTTGCCTGTGTCTTGTACCACGGCGGAACAAATGTGGTTGGCTGCATCTTGTTGTATTTTTCTATGCTCGTTGGGTTGGGTGTCGACTCCTGTTTCGTTGACTTGGCCGTATCTGCCTTGCATGCATGCAAATTGATGCACCACAGCCGAGGTGTATTATTATATTTGTTCTTAACATAGTTACTTTTAAGTTTCTACTATAGCAACCACTTCTTGTTTTGCTTTGCTGCATGAGTAGTCATGATCCGTGACTCTTTTGGGGAGTTTTGGATTCCAGCCACTGCTTGCCTCGCCACAGTTGTCGCACGCCACAGTTTTTTTTCCTCGAATGCGCAAAAGATTTACGTATTATTGTAATTAAGAAGAAAAAGAGTTTAACCATACATATGACGCACTTCTAATGAGCGCCCTAGGAGGTCTTACAGTTTGACTGGACCTTCCTAGGTGACTGTTTCAAACTTAGATATTACATAAAAGTAACAACCGAACTACGAGCAGCGCAGTAACCTACGGAGCTTTGCGTCTCCGCTAATGGCCGTGTGACTCTGCTCCGTCATCCGAGAAGAGCCTTGTACCAATCGTAGCAGCGGTCGCCGGGAACAGCTCGTCCAGCGCTTCCACTTCGCTCGACGTCCAGTTCCTTGCGAAAAAGTCGTCGTAAGCTCTCTTGGACGCGGATGAGATCGGACCTACCGGCGGTGCAAAGCCCATCCTCCGCATGAGGACGCCCCGCTTAGAGATCGGAATGTGCGCCAGCGGCTGAGCGGCAATCCGTCTGCTCCGCTTTGGCATGGGTTGCCCTATGGTTGGCACCTTCTGCCTGGGTGGGCTGGCGATTAGAGGCGGCATTCGCACGAGCTGCACCTCCTCAGTGAACCGTGCGAGACGTCGGGCAGCTTCGCGTGGTGTGGGCATCACGTCGCTGGGGGTGGTGCAACCCTCTGCGACGTCGGGTGCTCCCGCTCGTGGTGGCGTGAGCTGTGGCGGCCCCCGCACTGGCGACATCAGAGACAAGTCTGTCGTCCACTGAGCACCCATCGTCGGAGAACAGGTGTCCGCCACCGGTGCCTCAACCTCCTGAGGGACTATCGTATCAGGCAGACACTCAGGTCGCCAC